TTTTAAGAAAAATTCAAAATCTGAGATTTCGAAATCCATCACTATTTTCTTGCAACAATCTAATGCTTTAGATTATTCTGCAAAAATTATGAACTGTATATCATTTATGGTTGATTATTAAGGTTTATTATTACTAATAAACTTGAGAATTCTCCTTTAAATAAATTATAAAGCTATTTATATTATTAGTATATGTATTTTTTTATTATTACCTGAAATTTTTATTAAGATTAATCCATTTGATTTTTTTTTCCATCAAAAAGAATTTTTGAAAGTGCAATCATTTAAAAACCATGGTCCAAAAACTGGATGTTTGAAACGAGATACCCGAAACTGATGCGTCAAAAAGTTAAGTCAAGTCACACGGTCTCCGGACAACCAATAAATGCCACCTCTAAATTTACTTCTCATTTGCTTTATGCAAACACGTGACCGTGTTGGTGTGAACGCACCTGTATGTGGAAAGCGTTTTTTCTGCGTTGCCACTTTTTACCCCAGAGGACCAGTGTGAAAGCGTTAAGTCAACTCACGTGTCCAAAAAATTGCACGTCTGAGCTTGCTTCTGATTGGTCAATGCTTTCCACCCAAATGCAAAGCTTCCACGTACGAGTTAACCACGAACTCTCCTCTCCCCACCCGATCTATGCAGGGCAGTTTTGTCTCACCTCGTCTCTTCAATATCTATATTAACAACGTGCCTAAGGCACCTAGTATCGATCTAGCTTTATATGCAGACGATACGGCCATCCTAACTCAACATACCAACATCACCACGGTAATCTCTACATTACAAAGTTACCTTTCAGCCTTAGAACTCTGTCTCAGACTGTATAAAATCAAAATTAATGTCACTAAATGTGCTCCCTTTTTATTCTTCCAAAGAAACATCCCTCATTTAGATAATCTAATTTTCTTCGGTGAACTTATTCCCTGGGTTACTGCTTACAAAATACCTTTGTTTTACTAGACTTAAAATTAACTTGTCAACTTCACATTCAAAAAATTATTGCGAATGCTAAAGCTGTCAAAGCCAACCTGCACCCCTTTTTCACTAAGAATAGTGACCTGTCACTTGACAACAAGATCTTGCTTTATAAATCTATCATAAGGCATATTCTCACTTACCCTGCCGGTATATGATTCTGCGGTTGCCTCTTCTAAAAAGCAACCCAGAGCAATCTTACAACCTGATTACGCTCAACTACCTTTTAAACGGCACCGGTATTGGAATACAGACACCCAAGTGGATGCGTACCTCTCGTTCCTAAACCCCAGCCGCCCCCGTGTTAATAATGTGTAAGGGCATTGACTGGAGGAACCCTTTCTTTAACTCTTTAAGAAGAGTCTTCTAACGTCTCTTTAGCAAGGGACAACTTATCTCCGCAGCCGCACGCTACTGCATTTAATTTCTCAATAGCTTCTTAAAAGCTTCTTTTCCACCACCCACTAAACAGGTTGCTTTCAACCCCCCCCCAAGGGGTGCTCTTTACCTGGCCTTTAGACGTCACACTAAATAGCGACCAAAATTTTCTTCTCCTCCATCAGCTGTATCACTCTGAACTGCTACTAGAACCCCCCAGCCCTTTTTGCCCAACTCTCTGGACTGCTTGTCCTAAGGATTTTATTCTGTTGATATCAGGAATCAAGGAAATGTATTGCACCTTTTTATTCTTTTCAAAATTTTTTGAATATTGACTGCTCTCTCAAAATTTAATCCTGGCCCTTTTCAGACATGAAATTTAATTTAAAGACTTTCTATGAGTTTTACCTTTTTCTCATGCAGAAGGCATTATCTGAAAAGCTTTTATAATTACGCTTCAAATTTTCCTTTATTAGATGAACTCTTTTGGTGTAATTATTTTATCTCTGATGATGTGGAGTTAAAGGCCTAGCCTAGTGCACTCCGTAAATTAACTTCCTTGATCCTTGCATGACCGCATTGGTGTGAACTGGGCTTCATTTTTTGATACATACACTTTGGTATCAAATGCCTGTAACTTGGCAGTAAATGTCTGCCATCATCTTTGTAACCATACCTTCTACTTTCTTTATGCTTTAAGCATGTACTAATTCTGGCCCTATTAGCTTTTAGTTCAACATCTTAGTGCTTCTTTTTAAATTGAGGGTATACTTATGTCCTGTAAATGAAAGACTTTATACATGCATGCAGCATCATGTTTTCTGGTACCTGATTTGTTTATTTCGACTTTTTTTTTTAAAAGAGGAATATTTTAGTGAATATTTTTAGTGTTCTCTTTAAATGTACTACAGTTTCAGGTCTAAAAAGTGCTTTTTATGGGATTTTGTGCTATATTTCTTAGTTTTATTGGTGAGTTCAGAATTTGCTTATTTTCTTTTAAATGGCATAATTGTAATATTGATTAATCTTTTATGGCTTAAATGTGCAATATAACCTGAGCTTTGAAGTTTGCTTTAGAAATAGAACTTTGTTCAACATGTTAGAAGACAGAAGAGAAACACACCTCAAGTAAATCATGAAACCTGTGTTAGGTCTAGATTTTTAGCACAGAAACTCTATCAGTTTTTCATCAAGAGCAAAGAAGTCTGGAATTGAAAAACTAAGTTATGAAATTATTTCTTAGGGTATAAATATGTTCATAACTTAGTTTTTGAGTTGCAGATTTCTTTGCTGCTGATCAAGAGGGGACTTTATTCGCCCTTGAAATCGATAGTTTCTATGCTGAAAATCTACACCTGATACAGGTTGTTGCTTCACTTTTATGATGTTTCTAGAGTGTTTCAGTTTTGAAATATATTACATATGATTCTGATCTCTTGATTCACTATTGAATGCATGAGCAATAAGTTCTTAATCCCATTCTAGATATTAGAACAATGACACTGGATACATTTGTTTCTAAAATTTGCAGTTTATTTTTCTATGCAGATTAACCTGGGCTTGATGCCACTAAACAGTTTTGGTGCTATAGAGACGAGACAATAATTGTGTAATATGTGATCTACCACTTTGAATTAGCTAGTTATTTTTTTAGATGGCAGCACTAAAATTAGTTTTTGTTTTAATGATTTTTCTCCTTGCCATTTTATCTCACATTTGAATGTTTAAGTGGTGCTATGTAAGAAATATGTAACTAACTAAAAGCTGTAGATTGCATTCTGCATATTTACTGGTGAGACGTGATATCAACAAGAAGATGCTTCCCATCACAGATAAGTGTGGTATATTGAATTTCTTATGCTGAAACTCAAATTTCATGCAGCTGAAATGCTCTAGTAGAAAGCACCTGGTAAGCTAGAATGTTTTTAAAAATAGTTTAAAATCAATTTTAACAAAACAAAAATTTAAGCTCAATTTTAAATTTCCTGTATTGAAATATATTCAATACGAAAACAATATGGTTTATCAAAAACATACGTAAAGAACAACAGTAGTAATAATAATATGGATAAGAAATTCAAATTTATATTTATTTTCTATCAGAAGATTAAAGATTGGTACCTGCGAGAAATTTCTATTAGTCATACTTCGTAGTGCAAACATTATTGATTGCTACATATTAAATTTTAGACTGACTTTTATTTTAGGTAATTCCAGTTATACTGAAATAACCTAAATAGCTTATTTTTAACCTTAACTGGAAAACTTGGAATTTCAGAATACTCAGCAGTCACCTGGCAAACTAATTTTACTGGTTGTACCTGTATAAGAAATTCTCAAGTCTTACCCTAATCACTTCACCTGCTGCATCAGCATGTATTGAAAAAGATATAGTACAATCTATTAATTCTATCAATCATCAATTGCAGTCATGGACATAATTAAAGTAATTATCATAGGTCTTATACAAGCACCGGATCTGCAACAAATACATAAGTGAAATCTATTTGGGGGCTGCATAAAATTGCTTTGAGGGCTGCGAGTTTGAGACCACTGCCTTATGGGATATTGGTGTTTCAGTTATTTTCCATAAATGTTTTGGGATAACTTGAATTGGAACACTGAATGAATAATGGGAAAACTAGTAGTAACTGTAAAAGGAATTGAAACAACTTCCTACTTAGCTACTTTCTCCTCTCCATACATATTTTATCCATACATATATGTCTAAGAGGCTTAATTTTAATTAATAAAGGTAAAAATAACTGGTATATAAAAAGCTAATGTTAAATAATTATCTGGATAATTAGATCACTCGAATTAACATATTAAATTCTTGTTTCCTGTTCCTGTCAATCTTCATTTTTCTAGTACTGGAAATGATGTTATTTATTCTTACTATAATTATAGGTAAAATTCAATTCATTTGATAGTTTCTAGAATGTTTGTAACATTATTAATGTGATGTTTGTACAGTAATAAACAGTAAATATTATGCATACAAAACTATTAATTTTTATTTTTCTAAATTCATATTCTGATTTTACTTTGAAGTTTAGTTGAAATGTAACATTTCTTCTGTATAGAAAATTAAATGATAAAATATTGCTTATAATATTTTAAACTGTCATTTTGTGACAATGGCTTCATTCCATTAACAATGTTATACTATCATTAAAACTTTCATACTCAGTTCAAAGATGTATCTTTGTGAAACACTGAAATTTATTTTGAAATAAAATAAGACTCTGAATATTTATTCATAGGGAAGTTATTAATGTTTTCTGAATAAAGGATTGAATTGTCTGAGGAAATTATGGAAACGTTGTAAACAGGAACTGTGTTTGTGTATATGTATATGAATTTTAGTGATATAAATTTTAATCAGTTGTCCGTGATGCTTTTTAAGTGGTGTTTGTTTTGTATTGTATTTTATGTTATTTTATTTTTAAGTATTTATGTTATTTTCCATGTATTATTTTTCTTTTGTGCCTTCTTATTTAAATTTTGAAATGTAATATGCTCCTTTTTTCTGTTTCTTGTATTGGAATGATATGTTAAGATCTTAATTTTAAATTTCTGTTTTCAATGTTCATGCTAATTTTAATAAAAAAATGTGTTTGCATTATCTGTGTTACAGATGGAACTAGAGAAAATTCGTCAATCTGATAGTGAAGTTAGATGGCAGCACGAGGAAGATGTTGTGGAGTGCAATTCCTGTAAAAAAACATTCCAAAGTCGTAAAGAGAAAGTAAGATAAGATGTAAACTTTATTTCTCGTTTCTTTCATTTTAATTTATTTGTTTTGTGAAATTTATGTTATCTAGGCATAAAAGCTATTCCATAAACTTTTGGTAGCACTAATTTTTATACACTTAAAAATTAATTAAACGCTTTTGGAAACTAAATTTAATGGAAGGATATTATCTTCTTAGAATGAATTATTTTTATTGCCTGGTAATTTTTAAAAGGTTATACTAATTTTTGCTTGGTGTTTTGTTTTACCTTTTCACTTTTTTAATATTCTGTGAATGGTTTCATTTATTTGCTTGTGAAGAGAAGATGCAAGATCAGCTGTAGCTCACAATTGAAATTTAAGTATAGGTTTTGCATCGTTGTTTTAATTATTTTATTGAAATTTATGGTTTTATGTAGAGAAATCCTTGAAAAATAGCTTTTAAAAATCAAGAAACTATTAGATTTTTTTCCTACTTATAATTTCTTTGTTGATGCTATTCATATTTATTTCTGAATTTTTTGTTTCTTTTTTGCATGAAATCCAGAAAGCTTTTGTTATTTCTATACTTGTAGCTCCAGATAAGTGCTGAATATCTGGAAGCCGTCCAATAAATGTTAATTAGATATTATATTTAAATATTTTAGTTATCCAAAGGTATCCATATTTTTTTAATGGGACTTCATTGTCAGCTTTTAAATAACCAATGGATTGACAGATTTGGTGCAAATAGGATTCGTCTATTTTCATTTATGTGATAGGTTTCCTGATCAAAAATCTAAACATTTATTCTCCCCCCTAGTGTGTGTGCATTAGCTATTCAGTAGTTGAAATTCAGAACATGTGATGTGAGGCATGCATATTTTTACTTATGTTAGGTGTGTAAATTAAAAAAAAATATTTGAAACATTAATATGCAGTCACATTATTTTAAATAAAAATTTTAAAAGTCACATTTTAGGAAAATTGGAATATATAATAGAAAAGTGAAAGGTCTGCACAGCTTTGGCTCAGAGGCTGTGTTTTGCAGATATTATGGGTACAACTCTAATATACGCCCTAATTTCACCAAATGTGGCGATATGTATTCTGCGCTGATTTTTGGCGCGATTGCGTGTTCTATGGCAACCCTGTTGTCGTTGAAAAATCTTTCGCTGGAGCTCGTTGGTTCGCCTCTGTGTCTGAGAAGATGGGAGTTGTTGAATTGAAGTTCGGCAAAAGGAAATATGATTGTGGCTATTCTGTTGAGGGGTAGTGGGTATTTGGAAGTGTGGAAAGAGGGTCTGGGAGATTATTTTTAATGGCAGTGCATGATAGAAGTAGGGATTTGGGATTTTATTTATTTGTGAACCATAGTATAAATTTTCTGGATAGTGTGTCTGGCTGTCATGTAAATACGATAGTGATTATGTGGCGGCATGTTAAAGGCGGTATGAAATTTATATTTCTGCTATTCGAAAACGCATTAATTCATGGTAAGTGCATTTTATTTTATCCTTGTTCTTATTTTGTAGAATGTTATGTTCATTGGTTCTTTAGTATGAATTACTGTCGTTATTGTTGTTTTTTAAAATTGTTTGAAATTTATTTTAGTTTATTTTGTTGTTTAGTGTCTAGACTGTAACATTCGTAGATGTTTTTTAAAGTTGAAACAGAACTCTGTGTACATGGTATTATTTGAAATTATTGTTGTTATGTTTTATTAAAGTGAGGAGTGCGTAGATCGTAGATTCCTTCCTTGCCTAAATTGTGCAATTCGTAGAATTTTTTAATTAATTAAACAGAATGCTGTGTACATGGTATTCTTTGAAATTTATATGTTATTATGTTAATTTATTAAAGCGAGGTTGTGCGTAGTTTGTAGATTCGTTCGTTGCCTACATTGTGCAGCATTCGTAGATGCTTTTTTAAGTTAAAACATGTCGCTGTGTACATGGATTCTTGTCAAATATTTTTGGTTAGAAACTTTACGTTTTTGCTATCTAAATTTTTTTGTTTTTCTTTCGTATTTTTAGCTAAATTGTGTGTTCAAAACTTAGTTTTTGCAGACATTTTAGGCTAAAAGTTCAAAATGCAGACAAAAAATTTAGATAGTAATATGGCAGCATGAAGTTTCTCGCCAAAAATATTTGGCGACTTGAGGGCGCATATCAGAGTAGTTCCATATTATGTAATGAATAAAATATTGCTAGATTTGCCCCCTTCCAGGACCAGAGTAAACAAAAACAAATCTGAAAAACTACACGAAAAGCAATTATTATTATTATTATTATTATTATTATTATTTTATGTTTTTGTAGGAAAATGTATATTAAATATGTAAAAGAATTAATTTTCCTTATCAAAAAATAGCATTAAACAAAGAATGAAAGACATAAAGACAAAGAAGAAAGACAAAAGTTATTTCATCTATTTTTAAATATCAGTTTAGTAATCATTTAGTTTTTGAAATTATACCTTCTGATTAGTTATACGTGTTTTTAAAAATAAATTGTTATGGTTGATGCATATTGTTTTTGATTTTCTATAACAGGATCTGTGAAAATTAAAAGTTTTTAGAAATTCAGTATGCTGGTGTAATTAATCATTCTGATATTTTTGGTTCTAGCTGTAAAATAATAATAATAGCTGCAGTTTTGCTAAATTAAAACAATGCAGTTTTAATGTATAAGTTGTAGAAAATGCCTCTATTTTAACTCAGCCTTTCACGTAAAGAATTTTTTTTTTTTTAATTTTCCTTAGCTCATAAGCAGTGGAAAGTATCTTCCTTGTTTGATGTTTCAATTTGCCATGACTTGATTTATTGTGTATTCTATGTTTTTAATTGGAAAGTTTTTCAGTTTGTTGTGTTATTACCTGTTAGATTCACTGTTTATCTGAGAGGCTCTGTGAATTTCAGTCTTATCTGGATTTCAAGTGTGTGGTTTTTTACTGTATGGCTTGTTAGTTGCTTTTATATTACAAAGTCCAAAATACAGACTTGTCAGGACTTTGGCAATTCCAGATTTAGGATTTTTCCGGGTATTAGATAATCAGTTTAAATCTAGTAAGATAGCATGTAGAAGTTATAAAATTGAAAACATGAAATAATAAAGTATGTATGATCTAAAGGGTATCAAAATTTACAAAAAACAAAAAGCTTAATATTTATTGGTTTAGGTTATTAAACACTTCTTTCAATGTAAGTTGTTTCATTTTTTGTGATTTGTGTTTTTTGTCTCATTCATTTTTAGCAAATTAACTTGCAATAACTATTTTGAATGTTTTAAAGTAAAATGTAAGAATGCTTATTAAACCTATTATTATTATCACTTTTATTAAATCTAAATTGACTGGTATTTATAAATCGCCATAATTTTTTAGTTCTAAAGCTAATTTGGATAATCTTTCCCTGGTGATACTTTTGTAATAGGAAAAAGAGTCATTTAATGTAAAAATATCAAAAATGCAATAATCCTTTGCACACCCACCATGTGGGAATGAACCACAGAATGCTATTAATACATGATAGGAAAATGTTATTAATATTCCACCAATGTATTAATTTGCTACTTGTTATATTCTGTGCTATTTTTGATTTAATAATGATCAGTTCATTTTAACTACAAAATTATTTACATTAATTTTAGTATTAAGTGCAACATGAAAAATAAGCATACTGGTAACTGAGTAGATAAAATACTGAACTTTAGTAGTTCTCAAGCTCAATTTATGGTTAACATGCTGGCCAATAAGTTCTATGCATCTGTGCCTTATACAAAAATCGCTTTACAGAGGCTTAATTACCTATTTAAATTAAAAAACAGTAAAAGATAGTAATTGGTCTTAACCACTTTCAAATACACTGCTGGCCATAAAAGTTGTAACATCAGGAAGGAATGATCTGACGAATGTCAAGATCACATGAAAGAAAGAAGAGTTTGGGACATGCAAATGATTAGTATTTAAGAACATTTTAGACGACACATGAGGCAGAAATGACATCTGGAGCACTGCATAAAAGGAAGTTGTGTGGTAGATTTCTCATTCGGAAGGCACTTTATAAGGTCGTAGTTTTCTCAGAATGTCGTGTTATGCCTTGAATAAAAAGATGGAATGCTTACTAGCAAGTATCGGAATTCGATAGAGGCAGGATCATTGCTTCTCAAGAGTGTGGATTATCGTTCCGTGATATCACCCATCGCAGTGGTCAGCATCCAACCACTGTCATGCGAATATGGAATCAATGTGTTGCTGAGGGTCATACTGAACGGCATGCAGGACCTCAACACCCTCCCATGACTAACTCCTGAGAGAACAGATACATTGTGAGGTCAACCCTGCAAAACCATACAGCTACATCATGGGCCATCAGTCACAAAATGGGCATGTCTGCAGTATGCCCAGTATCTGCTCATATGGTGCATCGATGTTTACAGCAGTGTGGACTATCAGCATGACAACCATTATTTTGACCTTGACAATGTAGCATAGAGAGGGAGGGGGTCTCTGGTGTGCCGAATGACAAAATGGATACAGGAGGGGCACAATGTCATCTTTTCAGATGAGTCTCAGTTCTGTGTGCAGTATTCTGATGGTTGTACACATTTCTGGAGGTTGCGAGGAGACCGCATGTCGCCTGCTTGCATTTGATATCGACATAAGGGCCTTGCACCTGGCGTGGTGATTTGGTTAGGCATTAGGTACGTTACATGCACATCTGTAGTTCGGATCAGCAGTAATTTGAACACAGATCGGTATATTTCTGACATTTTATGTCCAGTGGTTGTGTCCTATCTTCGAGATCTACCAAATGCTGTTCAAATGCTTACAATAACATACTGCCAGACCACATGTCACACATAGTGTTCTGACCTTCCTTGATACACAGGGTATTTGATTGCTGACCTGGCCTAAATGGTCTCCAGATCTGTCATCCATTGAAAACATCTCATCATGGGTTACTAAGAGATTGGCCCACTACCCTTCTCCAACTAACATGGTTGATGAAGTATGACACACACTTGAAGCAATATGGAACGAGTTGCCTGTTTCTGTCATCGAAGCCCAGTTCGGCTTTATGCCTAACCGGATAAGGGCCACTCTACCTGCCAGGGGTGGCAGCTGTTTCTACTAATTTCACACCCCTGTAATCCCCCAAACTGCTTACAAATTTAATCAATTTGTCTTCATGCTGTACTGTTTATGTACATTAAATACCTTTTTTCTATTTGCTTTCCTTCCTGGTGTTCCAGTTTTAATGACCAGCAGTGTATATTGTATGTGCAACACTTTGACACATTACAGGAAAAAAATGAATGTTTATTTCTGATGTTTTTTAAATTTACATACATTCTGGAGTATAATGTAAAAAATATAATTGTTTATATCATCATAATTGCTCCATTTTATAGAAAGAAAGTTCAGCATTAATGCATGTTAATTTCCATATTTAAATATGTGTTATTAAGAAAAGAGAAAAAAATTCTGTTTGTAATATGTGAAATTTTTTTGATGAGATATGTCAGTTATCGTTTTAGTGAAATAAGTTTTCAAAAATATGAAATGGCACTTCTGTAGAAAAGTTGAATTAGAATTTGCAACAGAAACCAAGTTATCCAAGTTAATGTGGACCGAGGCTAACTCAGATAGCACAGATTAATAGAAATAAAATTTAAATAATATAGTCTTATTGTTCATACTATAGGGAATTTTAATGGGCAGGATTTATGCTGGTACATAATAAAATACCTCTATATTTGAATGTATGTACATTCAAATATACAGGTATACATAGAAGTACTAAATATGTTATATACTATAAATTTGAAAATATGTACCTGTAATACAAATGAGGTGCTGTACAATGTACATAATATATCATACATTTAAAAAAAAAATCAGTAGCAGCCTTCTGATTCTGTACGTAACATAGCAACATTGTAACGTAGGCTGGTGATGTGTCATCTTGCTGTTCATTATATAAAGCAGTGCCTTTTCGATCGTGTTCAAGCCATCTGTATGACTGATTCTGGTATGTCTTTTTCATCACAAATTTCATTGTGCATGGCTAAATTTACAATGGCCTTATCAAACAGTTCAAATTATTTATCATCTTGCATCCAGTCATTCACATCGTAACTTGTTACTGCCTCTGTAACTATGTATACTTAAAGCCGTCAGGACATTTAACTGACAACACACACACACACACACACACACACATAGACAAAAAACATGCAGCAATGTTTTAGTAAAATTTGTCCATTTTTATCTAAAAAAAGGCTGTTTCCAGGATATCCATTAAGAAATTTTATGAATAAGTATCATATTTGTGACTTTATTTAATTTAAATTATGGAATTTAAAATTAGATGCAAAAACAGCCTTATTTTGAAATCAATTTTGAGTCTAATTGTTTTCTTCTTTGAGCAGTTTAATTTTTTGTATCTCTGGAGAGGGTAATCAACTGTTGGATTCAATGGTGATTTGGAAATTTTTGTAAAACCTGACATGCTATACAAAAGCAATGTTGTTAGCTAATCAGTGGAGTTAGTGATCTGCATCTCTTTGAGATTGTTTACAAGCATGAAAATACCATTTAGATGATCAGTTATATTTTGCAGTCACTATTTTTTTATTTCTATAATTTTTTTTTTTTTAATTGGATTTTTTTTTTAGTTGGTTCTTTCAGTAAAGTCCATAGTTTCTGAGATGTTGAACAGTTCTTCACATATATAAATTCCTGGTTGCTTTTAATAAAATTATATCTGCCTATGCTTCCTGAGCAATCATTATCCATGTCTCTGGTTTCAGGACTTGATCCTAATGATTGATTTTTGTCCAATATCACTTCAATCTCTAATTTCCATGTTTCTAACTTAAAATTAGAAAGGGAGAAAAACTTATTTACTTGAAGAATAGTGTGCTAATAAACTGTGTAGTTAAGCTACAGTTTTTGCTTTTTTTGCATATAAAGTGGAATGTGAGAGCAAACAATAATTTAATGTTGCTTTATAATGATTGTTTTAAAAAATTCTTTTTTCCTCTTTAACGAATGACTTTTTTATATTTTAGAATCTTCAGCAATATACTTTTGATCTTTAGGTAATTCATATTTTTTCTGAAAATAATCAGAAATGTTTGAGGTTTTCAGAGAGAATTTATTTGGTATCGTTGTAACTGGCGATCTACAGATTTTTGTTACTTCGTAATTAGTTTTGTAATAGATAGGACCACCTCTTTTCCCATTCATTTCATTCCAGAATTCAGTATGCCATCAGCCAGTGAGATAGTCAATTAAAAATTCAGAACTACCTTTAAAATTTGCATGAACAGATTTATTATTATTTAATATTAATAATTTTTTATGGTTATTCCTTTAGAAAATATTTCCTTTGCTATGTTTTATGGTATGTATGAGAAAACTTTCAGTGTACGAATAAAAGGGGTGACATATTTTTTGATTAGATTATCTGGGTTAAGTATTTTAAGGAAGTACTAGATATTAATATAACTGAAAGTAAGCCCCTAAATGTTATCCATATAGATTATATCAAAAATTTTGTGCATTTGGTGAATGAAATAGATAAAAGGTAAGACAAAATGTGCCTGATTTTATACTGGTATATTTTGTTCTTTCAAAACCTACTTGCAAACAATTTGCTGTAAGCAGAGTATTAAAAAACGATAGATAATGAATTTCAGAGAGATAAATTAAACGCTCTTCCTGCTTAAAGATAGCAGTTCTTTCAGTTGCCTTTTATTTCAACTCTTCGTAATATAAATGTGAAATGTGTTTGAGAGTAAATTGAAGATAAAGATTCGGAGACAGCATTTTAAAAGGTCTTTGGGTTAAATTCAATGGGAAAATTGCATGCGAAAAAAATGATAAGCATAAACATTGCTATGAGAAAATTGCATGTGAAAGAAATGATAAGCATAAACATTGCTTTCACAAACAAAATATTGTCTGAAAAAGAGGTGGTGCCATTTATTATAAAACTAGTTAACTAACTATTGAAATTTGGTAGATCGCCAATATGGGCAATATTTAGAATTAAAAATAGATATTACTGAATTTTTTTAATGTATTGCAAAGCAAATATATGAATAATAAGCATTGAAATGTAGTTGTTTAAGGTGCTGAATTGTACGTGAAGAATGAAATACTTAAGACAGTGATAAAGTTTCTTTAATTTTTTTTTTCTTTTTGTTTATGCAATTTATATGACTTACATAAATTAAGTTTTTTTTTTCCTCTTTTGCCTTTCAGTTCCATTGCAACCATTGTGGTAAAATCTTCTGCCTTGATTGCCTATCTCGAACTGTAAATAGTGGCCCTAAAGGACGTCAGTTCAAAGTGTGTAATGTGTGCCATACTCTTTTAGACCATCAGACTGCCCCTTATTTCAGCAGTGAACCTCCACAGACTCCTAGTTAGAAGAAAACAATATTTATATAGTGCTTAGAATTATTTCAAGTGATTTCCTTTCTATTTTAAGGAGAATTCCGTAAATAGCATTATACTGCTATTTATTAGCAAATGCTATGCATTTGTATTTAATTAATATAAGAAAGCATTCATAATATCACTGTAGGAAGATTATTAAAAGAACTTTGATTCATACTTAATTCAAGAAATTTTGTACTTCCTTGAATACAAAGAAGTGTGGAGTTGATGTGTAAGTATATATTCAGAAGAACTACAAGACATCCTGATATGCATTTTGATGCCAAAGATATCTATTATTTGTCCGTTCTAAGAATGCCAAATGAAGGAGGAAGCTAGTCGTTATCACTGTGGACTATTCAGGACAGAATGCTTTTCAAGCTTGTATCTAAGGAGATGAAATAGTTTTTAATCATATTCAAACTGTGGAGGGATTGCTGAAATGCATATTTACATTTAAATTATGCATTTTTATTTCCTCTGCTGCAGTGTTCATTGACGTGGATTTTCCTGTCTGTTAATGTTGTATAATGTAAATTCAAATAGGCCATAATGGCTTTAAACTATTGCAACTATTCTTTGCAATTATGGAACTGTGACAGCTACAGAGATGTTTTTCTTTTTGATTGAGATAAAGCTGACTGTCTTTCACATTTATATCTCTAAATTTTATGCATATTATATAGAATAGATTCAGGGCAGATGAATGCTGTTTAAAGATATGTGGGTGGTTATAACAAAGTAGTTAACTGAAAAATTATGGAATACTGTGCATATAATTTTAGTTCTAATTTAGATACGTTTATACAAAATGTTATTATTATTTATAACTGTGATAGCATTAGTATTGTAAAAACATGACTTCTCATATTAAGTATTCCCCCCTTTTTTAATACATAAAATTTTTATTCTACTATCATTTCATAAAAACCTAAAAATCTCTTAATTGAAAAAAATTGTATTCTTTATTTGTGTATCTTTGCTGTTAAATTATCTTTTCTGTAATTTGTTATCCAAAATGACAGATATTTATAATGTCTCATAATTAATGAATTATAATGTCCCATAATTGTTAAATATTCATTTAAATGCAACTTTTTTCATTATTCTATGGTAAACTAAAATTTCTAGATTTCTTTTGGAACTAATTTTGTTAGAAGAAGGAAGTTCATGGGGGGGACTTTTCCCTCCCAGTTTTTTTCCTTGAGAGAGAAAAATTACATTTTTTTTTTTTAGATTAGATGTTAAAAATTTACAAATTTAGGATAAATGTTCCAAAAGAATGGAATATTTTATTTAAAAAAATGTTTTCAAATGTATGCAAAATATAGATATGAAGTCTATTGTAACCATGTATATAATAATATAAAATAGTATAATTTAAGTTTAAATTGCTTTTTCTTGTTTATTTCATGCATGTTTTCAAGTCTTTCATTTCAAATGCATTTAGCCTTTTCAGTTGCTTAGGAAATACACAAGAAACTCAAACGAAAGCATTTAGTAAAGTACATTCTTTTGTATGATTGTAATTTAAATTTACTTCAGAAATGAATGGTGCCTTGCATGAATGGTTTCAGCTTCAGACTTCTGTATTAACATGATACAAAATTTAATAAAGTATTTGTTTTATAATTGAGGAAGGAATATAATATGTTTTTAAGTGATAAAATTTCAGAGATTAAATATGATATGTAGGCCCTATGTTAAGTTTTGCCTTTCTTTTACACTTTTAGATTTGTTTTTGATCTTTAATGCAAGAGAATTTGTTTTGCACAATCATGCAAGTGTTAATGGTTTTTTAATATCTAATTTTATTTTTTTATTTAGGTATTGCAATTAAACATCTCTGGCATTAAAGTGTTTAATGTACTGAGCTTAGTGAACAAATTAAAAAACAAAAAAATATAGAAATATTATTTTGTGATTTATTTTGGCATAATAATCTGGTAAATAGTTTATTATGCACTTTTTATTTTTTCTGCTTTTCAAAAGTGTAAATTTTTTTTTTCTAAAATAAAATCTTATCTCTTAAACTTAATTAATGTGCAGCTGTTTTAAGTTACAAATTAAAAATTTTTTTTATTTATAACAAATGTTCCATTACTTATGTAATTAATTGCAGATATTTGTTTCATTGTATTTTTAACCAGTGCTAAGTCTGAAAACGTTTTACTGCATTTTGGTTGTTATATGGAATACATATAAACAGAATATTTAACTTAAATAAGATATAAGCTTCTTGTGTGTTTATATCTTCCACCAGAACTACACTATTTGAACAAATCTGTTTGAGACAACTTTTCAGTTTCAAAATTACAATCGAATATTTTTCTTTCATAATAGTCATGCTGTTGTGCAAATTAGAGATGCTACACATTTACAAATTTCATTATATTTTTTTAACACTTTCCTATTGATTTGTATTTTAATAACTGATGAAAATGATTTTAGTTTAAACTTTTTTATATCTGATTCATAAAAAATGTTTTACTGTGTTAAAAGATTTATCTGCTGTAGCAATCAAATTTAAGTAGAGGGATGTTAACTCAGAATTTTTAGTGGAGGGGGAGAGAAAAGCATATGTCCTTTTGCCTTAGGAAATATTATTTAATTAATAAAAGAAAATAAGAATTTAGTGCATTTTAAAATTTTTCTAAGAAGGGATTTTCTACATTCGTGACTGTAGTAATGAAATTATTTGATTATAATATGTGGCAAACTGTAATAGTCAATAAAAAAATTATTAGTGTAAGTACACAAAGAGGTATTATTGATTTTGTATCGCATATATTGTCCACAATCAACTTTTTTCTTTCATTTTTATTGTACATTCTCAAGACACTGTGCTTCATATAGAATCTTATGTCAAATGTTTAGTAATAACTGTCAAATACAGAATGAGCTCAGAAACTGATATTTTTTAGTAATACGCCTTGCCTGACTGTTTACACTCTATTCTTTCTTGCATGTTTGTTTAATTATGGCATCACAACTAATTCCAGGAAGGAAACTGCTTGTTTAAAAACATATGGAAAGGGAGAGTTCCATACTTTAATTTGATTGTTTTAATTTTCAGCTTTGCATGTAAACTCAAAACAGTTTGCTTGAATTTATTAATAGGTTTTTTACACTATTGCAGGGTTTATGTGAAGTAGGGTAGTGATGCAAAGTGTGTCATCAGAATTTGGGAAGGGGAGGGAGAAAGAAGGAAATCTGACAGATGGAATTATCATAACCAAATAGAAGAAAGACCTAAAAAAATATACAGTATGTCTTGGAATTGTTGAAAACCCCAAGTCTGTGTTTCAAAGTCAGTGATTTTATTCGAGGTCGATTCACTTTTACATGTGGAGCTGCAAATGCTAGAATATTCTGATCTGGAGCAATCAAGGGTGGAGGTAGGTTACAAGAGGTTTGTCAGAAGGGCTAGCTTAAGGTTCCTCTAGTCCAGGCTGAATCATACGCCATTCGGGATCCCAAGTGGAAGTATTAATGGCGACTGCATAGTTAGTGGTGCAACAATTTCTTGTGCCTTTTTTGTGTAAAATGGGCGGATGTGCAGCTATTAATTTCTTAAATCATTCACGGAAAGGTCATATATCGGTAAAATTTCCTAGAAATGAAGAAAAAAGAAAATTTAGAAAAATAATTGCAGAAGTGACAATTGGAAACCTGGTTCAGGTGCTCAACAGTGCCTAGTAAGTATATTATTATTTACTCCTCTATTTAGAATTTATATCTTCTCAAATGTTTACAATGTGCAAGTAAAGTGAAATTCATGTGTACAATAACCTAAGTATCTGTTAATTTCTGTCATAATAGCTATAATTAAATTGGTCTAGGGTTAATGTTTCCCATCCCTAAACATCGCCAATGCAGATGTTTGAACGTGGAAAAGAAATTTCGCTTCTAATTTGAAGCACAGGTTTTGTTTTCCTGTGCTAAAAGTGGAAATTATAGTAATGTAATATAAAAATAATTAGCATATTGAAATTTATTAAATATAAATAATAATTTAGAAACGCAAGTTAAAATCTGAATGTTTGCTAATAGATGTAACATAATGAGTTTGAATATCGTTGACATTACTTGTAATTTTTTTCCTTTTTTTGTAATCAAAAATTGGTGAAAAGTTAGATGAGTTGTTTATACATGATGCCTACTACCGTTTCTTTGTTAAAAGAATTTCCAGAATTTTGACATTGACGTCTGAGGTCAATAGAATAAATTGAATCCTGTGGGGTAAAATATATATACAATTTGCTTTCAATAATTGCAAGGGGATTGTGAAAGTACATATAATCACAGTATTATACAATTTGGCAATAGAGTAAAAATATAGAAATGAGTGCCGAACGTTCAGATAAGCACATTAAATTTGTGAAAACATTGCATGTGTATTTTTCGTAAAATAATTGTAGTGATTTTAATGCATGCATAACAATCAAATAAATCTGTCTGCAATGATGAATTTCAAAGGCCAAGTCAAAATCATTTCACGAATTCAATACTTCAAAGGAATTTAATCTCATTGAATTAAATTCTCATTATGCTGATAAACAGTTATTACTACGGTATAAAACGAATTTTTCTACATGATAAATAATATTTGCTGAAGCATTATTTTGTGTTGTTATCCCTAAATAAGAAATTGCCTACATATTCAGAAAGTTCCTGAACTGCGTTCTGGTATTTTTAATGACTGTATATGCCAATGTAATATGCCAGTGTAATTTAAAAAATTGGTCATTTAAACTGGCCGTGATTCTCTTTAAAACGTATGTTGGCAAAGTGCTCCCAAACTAGGGGTGTGCAAACAGATCCGAGGGATAAATGAAAGAAATATTGACAGAAATGAAATGTCCAAAATGTCTCTCTTTGTGTGTGTTGAAAAAATATAAATCATATCTCCCACAAAGGCAACTTCAGGAGAAATCTTCAAATATTATCTGAGGAACAAATTGTAGTACAGGAAATATATGTTTGAATGACTTGAGAATTAAAAATTAAATATTTCAATTAGAGCAATAAACATTACGACAATTACAACAGGAGACATGGTCTGCTCTAATTATAAATTTATTTATTGGTCCAGTATCTTCAAAAAGTTGGATGAAGTCACTTCATATTTTCTTATCTTTTTAAAGAGTACTATAGTAAGAAATATTAAGTTTGATTGTAGTTTTTTATTTAAGTGAAAACTTTTGTATAGTATTCAAGAACTAATAAATTATCCGAAAAATTTACATACGCGGAATCTCGAGCGTCTATAATATCAATCTTTAAAAAACAGCAAACATTCAGCCAGTGTCTGCGATAAACGCGCCAAAGCTGGCAGCTCTTTCTCTTTCTCGCAAAGAGGGAAAAGTTGATTCAGCCTGGTCTAAAGGAGCCCTGTGCCAAAATTTATTAATGTGCTAGCATTAGGTGAAGGTATTCCCATTTTTTCATTTAAAAAATCGTAGCTTTAGATGGCAGAGCTGTTATGACACTGCAACGTGAAATGTCTTCCCTGGTCTATCTGATTTCTTGTAATGCGTCTGCGTCTTTGTAAAAATTTACTTTAGACTCTTTTCTCCAAAGTCTCCGATCTACGCTTTTTTTCCCTTAAATTCCACTATTTATTTCTGATACAAATTTCTTTCTAGATGTCGTTCACCTTCTATGTCGCCGAGCAAAGATTCTAAATTTTTTCCCCATTTTTCAATACTTTAATATAATTTTCTAAGAATATTATTTTATCTTTCAAATTATCAATGCATTCTTATTTACCTTTTCATCAAAAGTAAATTATTCTTGGAAATTTAGAAATTAAAATTAAACTGAGAAAGCATGAAATACTATATTTCTTCCTTTCTCATTTCTGTAAGTGTTACGGCACGTTACTACAGCGCAAGAAGCTATATTACATAAACGATATGTTACAATATAGAATTTAAAAGAAAAACTAACTAAAACTGTATATCGCTGTTCTAGATATTATAAGCTGTAATTAAAATGATTTGTGCAAAGGTGTATGCTATTTTAAATTGAATTACCCAGGGCAGGCGGCGAGGACGCCCCCTTTGCATCCTGCATGGAGGTAGGAAAGGGAGGAGGGGCCAACCCGCGCTAAAAGTGAAGCACTGCTTTGAAGCTTGGGTCACCAGACGGGGTGTTCTTTGTTTACATTCAGAAGCTCGCTTGACAAGATTCTGATAGTATTTCGACACACGACAGTTCCATAGAAATCGAAAAAGGGACACTTTCGCATTAAAGAAACATTCATAGTGTGATGGATAATAGCAATTTGTATAGTTTAGTGACATTCACGCAAAAATCACATCTTGGTTATTTTTCGATAACTAACAACAGCGATTTTGATTATGAATTTGTTTTATAAAATTATAAGCTGTTGCACTACAAAAATATAGATTTTAAGAAAAATGTTATGCTTAAAGAATGAAAAATACCTTACGGTACATTTAAAATTGTATACGTCTTTCGATACCCTTGATAGAGTATTCGCTACTTTTATTTTATTTTCCAAACGTCAAAATGTTTTAAATAAAACAATTTTTTTTTTACATCTATATATTACTGTAACATGTACCTTTTAAAAATTTTTAGAGGAGAGGCTTTACTGCTGCTCATTTTAAACCCATCATTTTAATTTTATATATCTGAAAAATAATCACTTTGGGCTTACACTTTTTATAAATATAAAATTATGTATGTTAAAATATTTGTAATTAGGCACATAGGTCAGATTAAGTTTTTATTAAATAGAGTAACGCATGCAAGGGCTATCTGCCTAAAGAGAGAGATGCCATCGTGGAGGAATTTGAAGAAAAACTTACCTTTGAGTGGGTATTAAAAATAATACTTATAATTTTCATTCAAATTATATTCATATATATTTTTTTTATGTAAAACTTTCGGGTGTATGCTAAATTAGTGTAAATTACTTTACACGAAAAATATAGTGAATGCACAGAAATTAAAGATTTGCACATGCCGGAAATGAAAAATAGGAAATATGTATGGGTATTTATGCATGTGCTTGCAAAAAGCATGTATCTGCCTTTGACAAAATACTTAAATATTTCATTAAATTATTTATAAATATATTTGAAATGAAGAATTTATTCACTTATAAACAACTGTGAAAGTACTGTGAAGAAATCTAATTATTAAATGTATCTAATTTATAATGATTATAAATGTTATCTAAATATATAATAACCTTAATATTGAATTGTAAACATAAATTGAAATCCTCTTGACAAATACGTTATAAAACTATTTAAGCAAGAATTGTTCTTATTGGAAAGCAATCTGTTAAAAGGTATTGTAAAGCAAATGCTATGAGATGCGCACTTAAGAACGTAATAAAGAGTTTTGGAATATGTATTGTTGAAATGAAGGGTAAAAAAAAAATCTGATAAGTATAATTAAAAGAACTCAGTTACAAGTTTTAAATAATACTTAAAAAAAAACTTATTTTATTCCCTTTCAGAAATGTTCAGAGAAAGTCAAGTACTATTTAATACCTATTTAATTATTAGGAATTAGCGAAATACTTATTTAAAGTATTTCGCTAATTCCTAATAATTCTTTAATTTAAAATGAACCGAATAGAGCATTAATTATAAATTGACTTACATTTTTCGATTTAAAAGATGCCTCAGAAGCCAAAAAATCATGTCATATTTAAGAAAGTATTTTAGGAAGAAGCTCTATAAATAGAAAAGAAATAATGCATAATTTTAAATA